TGCCTTTCCAGCCTAATTTTTGGTTCCTCAAACTCAAAGGACAGGGAAAAGGGACAGGATTTGTATCTCTCAAGTTTTCAAAACTGTTGTTTGAATGTGGTGTAAATGTAAGAGTGTGAAGTTCTTTGTGAAGGGTTAGAGAGATAAAACACTTCCTTTAGAAGCATATAGACCTGTATGGATTTTGATAAGAGTTGTATGAGCCCATAATAAAACGATTTAAAAAAAAGAAGCATGTAGTCCTAGATGAAAGATCTGTTGATCAACAGTATTCTTATTTTAGCATTTTAAATAAAATGTCTCTATGCTTTTATACCAATATTTTTTTGACTGATCCTCCAACATATTAGACGTGCATTTTATAGGTCTAGTGGGAAAAGTCCTATGCTAAAAGTTAAGATTGTGTAATTCATTAAGGGAGCTAAGACATAGTGTGTTCAACCATTTGAAGAGGTAGAATATGATCAACAACCAACAGTGTGGAAGAAAGGAAGGAGTCCAAGCTGCAATGAAGTCATTGGTAAAAAACAAAATGTAAACTGAAATGTTCAACAAATTGCTGTATTGTTAGAATTACTCACCTATGCCAAAAAATTTAAAAGAAAGCTACCTGGCCAACCAATTGGAGGCAATCTATATCTGTGCACATTCTAAAAACAAGTACACTAACAAAATAAAAAAAAATGAATAATATCATTGATATCAGGCAGAAGTAAAATTGTGTTACAGATCATTCAAAACAGTTGCAGATGTACACAGGGAAGTACTTGAAATTCAAATTGGATTCAGAAGAGGGCATGGAATGAAGGATATCATTTCTGGCTTCAGATGGATCTTGGCTAAAAGCAAAGAATACTATACAATCTCAAAGTTGCAAAGGCATTAGACTGTAGGGATCATAACAAATTATGGATAACATTGCAAAGAATAGGAATCCCAGAGCACTTAGCTGTACTCATATGGAAGCTATACACAGACCAGCAGACAGGTGTTTGAATAGAATAGAGAATAGCATGTGGTTAAAAATCAGGAAAAATGTGAATGAGGGCTGGATTCACATGCATATTTCATTGGTATGCTGAGCAAATAATCTAGGAAAATAGATTACATGAAGTGAGGTGGGTGTGGGAGGCCTGGTAGGGCATGATCAAGGGTAATGTAACAAAGAGGAATTGCTGAAACCCTGGTGGGGACTAAGCATGATAGTGGGGACAGGAGGAAAGTCAAGGGAAATA